AAAAAAACACAATTTTTGTTTCAAAAAATAATTAATTAAAATAAAGTCGTTGGCTGTGAAAAACAGTTTTTTATTTTTTTCAACATAAAAACTGTCAAAAAAACTTGAAACAATTGATTGACAAGAGCCTTCTCTATAGTCTATACTATAGCGACTTTAAAAATTACAAAAAATTGTTTCCCTTGTAGGCGATAATACACTAGACTTTACAGTTGTTTTTAAAGTTGTACAAAAAATTCATTTCTGGCAAAAATCGTTCCCTGATAAGTTTGTTTGTTTTTTTCTCGTATTTTAATCGTTTTTTGTCACGTGTGATTTTTTTTATTCCTGGTTTGTGCACCAAAAAGGCGTTATCAAGTACCATGAAATCATAATCGAGGAGGCATAGAACGTACCCTTGAACCCTTTTGTCACTTTTACCTTCCCAACTGAACCTCTCGTCGTACCAAGGCTCAAAATTGGTACCAACATAAAATGGTTCCCAATGTTGGTGCTCATTTTGCCTTTTCGTGACACTAAAAACGCTAAAATTGTGTGTTTCGTTCAATTGTGTCCATTTTTGTAAATCCGGGATGTTGTGACACGAAAAACAAATGTCTTTGTGGAAGGGAATTGCTAAATTTTTGGTTAACAACTCCCGGAGTTGGGTTTTGTTATTTGGGAGTTTTAATCCGGATTCGATTTCGAAAACTGGTAAAGGGAAGACTCGAGGGTTGGGCCTGTTGAGTGGTGGGTGATTCCGGGCTATCATTGAGAGGAATTTCGGGATGAATCCGGGATTGGGGAACAGTTCGATGTCCAGAGGAAGGATGAAGTGAGTTTGGGCCAATTCCCGAGCCACATTTCGGCCTACGTTGATCGGGTAGAGCAAATTTTTTGAGTTTTTGTAAGTGGAATTGGTGCGAAATGGGGGATTTTGACCACAATCGAAGAAGTCTTCTTCCGGTTTGACAATCTTGAAAAAAATGCAAAAATGTGTTATTTTTTTAATTTCTACAATTGATTGAATATTATCTAGTAGATAAACGACCAAAAGGTCATAAACAAATTTTTGCGAGTCTTGAAATTGAAAATTTTTGTTTTTTTTTGACCAATTTATTTGACTTTGTTGTTTGCTATCTAAAAAAAATGGTGGTAATACAATTGTCTCCAAATTTTCAAAATTGTGACACTATTATTTGGTATTTGATGTGTCAAAAAGGCACAAAACTGAAATGTTTATTTTCAAAATTACAATTTTTTGAAATTTCGACTTTTCTTGCTTCTCCTAACAGCGATCTAGAACTCTGGGGATAATTCTAGTAAAGTTTTTCTTTTGAGATTTTCACAATTGGTAGACCACTATTTGATGTATAAATTGCCAAAAGGGCAATCAAAAAGATCGTCTAGTTTCAGAATTAGAAATTTTTGAATAACTTCTCTCGTTGTTTCCAATTAAAAAATCTTGTCACGGTCCACCTCCAATTTTTAATTAATTTAAATTATTTTCTCACTTTTAATTAATTTAAATGATACTAACACTTATCTTATCAAACTTGCAACAAAGTGGGGCAAAGATAACGTAAAAATTTCATCAGAATCGCTTAATTTTCTGAGTTAATTAGAGTGCTAAAACTTAGCACCTATATTTTGGCATTTTGGGCCATAACAAAAAAACAAAAAGTCGTAGAAAAACTCTGAGTTGAGATTCGTATTACTCGTGTCGTAATACCCCACTAAGGCAAGTTTAATAAAATTTGGACACAAATCAAGGCCCTAGTACCCCAAACTGTGCCAAAAATAATTTTGACCCAAATTGGCTAAAAATCGACTATTTTATACAAAATGAACCCAGGAACCCGAATATGT